TGCTGACAGTCAACATTTTCAGACAAAAGGCAGGCCAAATTTAGCTTCATATGGCAGGATTTGCTACAGGATCTCAAGTGCTTCGTCTTAAATACAGGGAGTCAGGTACAGGTCTGTGAAAAACTTGACAGATGTGGGCTTCCACTTTCTTAGCTCCTAACATTATTTTCCAGAAATTAAAAAAAATGGTATTTGTAAGCTTTATCTCATTATGAAAGGCAACCTCCCGCCACCACCTTCTTTGTCACATTGAAGGGAAAACCTTGGAGGGCTCCACGCCTTGCTCATTCTACTGTGGTCTCAGCTGCCACTTGTGGGCAGGAAAACACATACAACACACAATAACTGCAACCACATAATGACTGCCAAAGAAAGGAAGTGGGGGCTTCTACACTGCGAGGTGAGAGAAGAGAAATCCCCCAGTGATGGCACGTGAGCTGGCAGTCAGGTGCTCCCAGTGGAGGCAGGGTACAAATATGGCATCCAAGCCCATCATCTGGCCGCTGTCCTTCTGCCTGAGAACTCTCCTAAACGAACGACAGAGAAATCTGGTCCATGGCCCTGTAATTGCCCGTGCACGTTCTCTCAGGGTTCCGGGCTGCGCTTTTCTGGATAATGCAGACAACCAGCCCCACCAATCACTGATTGGTCTACTTGGAAGAGGGGAAGCAGGTAGAGGAAGTATTTATCACAGTCCTTTAAAACACTGTCTTTCTGGGAAATGCTAGAAACAACATCAATCAGGACATCCAAAATTTAAGTGGGTGGACAGGAAGAAAATAGAATTCTGAGAAACAGCTGATACTAAAAAGGAGAGTTTAGAAATGTTGCTGCCTCATCCTTCTCCTGGCATTTTCAGTTTGAAATGCTAAACATCACACCATAAATTGTACCAGGCCTCCAGAATCTGCAACTGACAAGGCGCGTCTGAGATCAGCTTTTAACACACAATCTGCTGTGAAACAGGAGCGGCTGCCCTCTGACCCTACACTGACTGAGATTAGTACAATGAACGAATAATAATAAGCACATTACGGTCATTCCCCCTCATTATTCTATACAACACACCCTCCTTCTCGGTATTACCTTCCAAAGCACAACAACATGAAAACAGACTTGTTTCTAAGATCCCAAACCCTTTCCATGTGACAATGATAGCTGAAGGCTTTATTGATAAAGGATTTTCCACCATAATCCCTAATTTGACAGCAAAAAGTCCTGGAAATAAAAAAAAAAAAAAGGTTCTATTTGTATTTATTTTCTACAAAAAAAAAAGGAAAATGGTTTTGGGGTGGGGGAGGGAAAGCAACAAACAAACGTGAAAAAATGTAATCCATGAATTCTTACCAGCCCCAGAAAAAAAGGACTTAAATGTATCTGCTTTTAATTCTAATCAGAAAAACATGGTCACTTGCCCACAATTTTGTTGTATTTGAGGTCAAGTCAACTTAGTTAAAAGTAAATGAAGGTAGGATTCATAAAGAAATAAAAAAAATGAAAATATCTGAGTTACTGCTTCAATTATACTACATAAGATACAAGGAAAGAACTAGCAGGTGTCCTCAAATCTCCCTAACTAGACTAATATCAAATTTTAAACACTGCTCCAGCATGTGTTTGTAGTTTTAAACAAATACAAAGCATGCTTGGCAAGTTATTTTTAGAGAAGGTAAAATTAAAATACAGCACTGTCTCTCCAAATCTATGCTTCACCAAATCTGTGTTTCACACATTTTACAACTTCCTAATAAACTTTCCACTGGCATTCAGAAATACTCAATACTACACAGAATACTAGGGGGAAAAATATGCACAGTCAAGTATGTGCGAGCCCCTCCCTAATGAAATAAATTGGAATGGAAATTGGGACTATTGTTAAGATACCAGGTCATCGGCCTGTGGAGCTCATGCCCTCATGAAGTCATTGCTGGCTTTTGTGGAGTTTGGAGAAGGGACTCCTGCAAAACCACAAAGGACACTAAAATAAGAACCAGTTAAAACAAAACCATTGTCTTAGTAGTAGTTATTCACTACTAAACTGAGAAACAGATACAAATAATGTATCTTTCTCCTTAGAATGTTTTTCAATAAATTGCTTGGGGGGGGGAAATATAAGAGTAGTCAGCAATGAGTAAATTAGGGTTTAAGGCCAACCCTTTTTATGCATATGAAACAACTTCTCAGGTACCGTCTTGCAGATAAAGAACACTAAGATTAAAAGCAGTTCACTACACTAAAACCTATCTGAAACTCTATGCTTTATTCTCTCAAGCTCCAGACTCAGGGAGGGAGGCTATTTTTCTCATTACGTTTTCAGTTATTTCAATCGGGTAAGGGAATGAATGTTAAAGAATTAAGAACATGATTTTTTTTTTATTTTTGGGTTGCTTTTTTTTTTTAATGATTTTTGTGTGAGTGTACCGTCAAATCAGATCTGACTGGTACAGGAGGAGATTGTCCCTCCTTCCCCAACAGAGCATCTGGTGGATTCGAACCGTGCGCTTCTGGGATTGTAGTTGCAGCTCCTTGTAGCTAGGCCACCAGAGCTCCCCCACGATTTTATTTTTAATTTCTATTTTATTTTGGAAAAGTTTCTGATTTACATAAAAATTAGAAAGATGTAAGTTTTTGAAAAATTTACACTTTACACTGTAACAGCTTTATTTCTTATTACTTGATTTTTTTGGCAAAGTTTACATATTGGTTTTTCACTCAATTGTATTTTCATATACTTTGATACAACAAGTGATCATTTACAATGTCTAATCAATTCTTTAGGGAGCACTTGTGGCCTTGTGGAAAGAAACCGTGATGCAATCCCAAAGGCATGTGACTCGAATCCATCAAATGCTTTGCAGGAGAAAGATCGGCAATCTCCTCCCCTGTGATTAAACTGCTTCTGAAAACCCACTGGATTATCAGCTATGGATGGGTTGGTTCCAACTCAATGGTAAACAACAACAATTAATTCTTTAATGTGTATTTCTTTCCTGACACCCAACTTAACTATATATTAATTTTTCCTACCTTCACATTCTTGTTAGTCATCCAAGTTATGAATCAAGAGTACCTATCAACAACATTGTTCACTATATTTTTGTCTGTTTCTAGGTCTGGGTTATTTTCTGAATGAGGTCATACATATTAGCAAAGACACAGTTTTAATAAGTGGAGACTGCCCATCTTTCTCTTGTGAAGCAGCTGATGGATTTGAACCACTGGAGAGAGTGCCACCACTGTTGGGTTAGCAGTGTATACACTAGGCCACTAGAACTCCTTAAATCTTATAAAGGTTCCCTAAATTAGTAGTTTTTAGCCTTGGCTCACTCCTCTAAGCCAGGAATGCTTTTTGCTTACCCTCGCACTGTAAAGGGGTTCTGAGAAGAACAAAAGTTGATATAAATTAGGCACACTATTAGAGGGACATTCCCGTGTGCTCACTTGATGCAAAAGCTCACTGTTTAAAGAGGTAGGTAACAGGTGTGGTGTTTTCTTCTCAGGATGATGAAAATATTTTGAAACTAAACTACACAATACTGTTAATGTACCAAACGCCAATAAAATCTCCATTCAAAATTAGTCAATTTTATCTGGGGGGAAAAATCCAAATAAAATAAACTAAAAAAATATACTCTGCTAAGTTGTGTGGTACCATAAAACACAATTACTCAACAAGGAATAACTTGGGCCAAGTTTTCAGACGCATGTCTATCCTCTGCTTTACCCCTTCCATATCTTTTCATTATTAAGAAAAAAATCCACTAATAAAATCGCTATTAGGGACAAAATCCAAATTCTGTGCCAGGGCCCAGAGGTACTTGCCTAACCTGGATTCCACCTCCCACTTCCTCGTCACCTCCTCTTTGTCCACCACATTCTCCATGCATATCTGCTTCTATCAGTTCTCAGAACACGGATAGCCCTTCCTTACCCCAAGGTTTCTGGAAAGTTCTCTCTGTGGCATTTTACATGACTAGCTCCTTCTCACACTTCAAGCCTCAGTATACATTTTACCCATAAAGGTCTCCAAAGTACACTAAGTGGAAGCCCCTCCTGTCATTCTTAGAAATGACAATGAGGAATTATCAAATATAAATTAACTACATATTACAATTCCTTGTCAATCTTATTTCCCCCTGCACCTCTAGCACTTAACATAGTGCCTAGCACCTAACTATGGCCAAAGGGCTTAACAAATAATTGCCTGAACTTGATGAACCAATTAATGAAACTGCTGTCAACTCTCTCTTACCTGTGCCACCGGGCGAAAGCAGAGACGGTGGCAGAAAAGAAAGAAAACCAGTGGATGACCAAGTGCTCTGAGCTGGCAAAAAGTTGCACAAGCCACAGGCCCTGAGTATGTCCAGGGAAGGGGACCCTTCTACTATCAGGAATTGTGGGAAATGGATTTTCTAGACACATTTTTCTAACATTTTCCAAACAGAAGTGTCTGAGGAAGCTCAATGTATGAACAAAATGCCAACAGGATGGAGTAGGGGCGCTCGATGTGGGTTAGGGGTAGTGATGACAGCCACCTCCCTCCCTCAGTCCATCCCTGAGAAGCAGTGACCACCACGCCTCTGAGAAATTGGAGTCTGAGTGGAATTTAACTGTGACTGCTTTATGACTAAAAAGAAGAGTCAGGATTATTGAGATATCATTTACATATAATAAAATCCACCCTTCATAGATGTACTGTGCTACAGATTATGATAAACATCCTATCACAAATTCCCACCACAGTTAAGAAATTCCCCCATTCCACCTCCGCCCCTGTGCCCACTATAGTCAATCCTCTGCTCCAACCTGTAGCTCTTGGCAATCATGGTCCCCAAAGTTTTATCTCTTTTAAAATGTCATAAAATGGAATCCTATTGAGAGCAGTCCTTTGTCTTAGGCTTTTAAAATTTTTTAAAAAGCTTCTGATTTGAGACCAATGTTTATACTACATAGTGCTCCTATTAATCCCTCTAAAGAAAGAAGGAAAGAGTAAAACTTACCTTTTGGAATACTTGATAGTTGGACTTGGACCATATATCAAGCTGGAGGGAAAAGTGAGAAACATTCATTTTAGACTTTTTTAAGAAACGACTTTGCAACGACATATATACTTGACTGTGTTTTGTGTACTGCCAAGTCAACAACCCCCTCTTCAAACTTATGGTTACAGAATAAGAGAATCTCAGGGTAGAAAGGAATCCGAAATCTCCTTTTTATTAATCTCAACATCAAGAAAACAAAGATTCTCACCGCTGGGCCAACTGGCAGCATCGGTCTGGATGGTGAAGAGATTGAGATAGTTAACAGTTTTAGTTTACTTGGTTCCACAGTCAACATTCTTGGTAACAAAAGCCAGGAAATCAAGAAACAAATTGGAAAGTAATTGGAAAAGTCAGCTGTGAGGGACCTCCAAACAGTACTGAAGAGCAACGATGTCAGGCTGGAGACTAAGGCACGCCTGATCCAGGCTATAGTCTTTGCAATTACGTGCTATGCATCGGAGAGTTGGACAGTGAATAGGGATGACAGAAACAGAATTGATGCCTTTGAGTTGTCATGCTGGAGAAGAGTATTGAATAAACCATGGACTGCTAGGAGAACAAACAGGTTTGTCCTGGAGAGGGTGAAGCCAGAATGCTCCTTGGAGTCAAGGATTCTGAAACTTCATCTGACATACTCTGGGCATGTTGCAAGGAGGGACTGGTCCTTGGAGAGAGACATCATGTTTGGAATACTGGAGGGATGATGACACAGGAGAGCAAGACCCTCAGTGAGATAGATCGATTCTGTGACTGTGGTGGTGGAATGAGTGTGTTTGAGACGGCAAGGCTGGCACAGGAAAGAACGGTGCTTAGGGCTTTTATACATAGGGTCACTATGAGTTGCAAGCAACTCGATGGCACATAACAACAACAACAACAACAGTAATTTAAAGAAGTCAAAAGAAAGAACACAGAGTAAGGAGGGAAATAAAATCTAAGCATTTGTTGCCTTTCGGTATCTCTGACTTGTGCTCAATTTTCTAACCTCAATTCCGATCACTCCTACAGTATCAATTCTCCACTGATCTTCGGGCTTTCCTGCAGAGTCAAATTCTGCCTCAGGACTTTTGCATTTGTCTTGCTCTTTGTTTGTAACAAGGATCCCTGTTAGCCCTGTGGGTAAAAGCATATGACCACTAACCAAGAGGCTGGTGGCTGAAATCCAGAAGACACTCCAACGGGAAAGGTGCCCTACTCCTACTGTAAAGATTGACATGCTCGGGAACCTGATGGCGACTGCGCGGCAGTGGGAGTGGGACTGCCTGGTGGCACTGTGAGTGAAAGCATGCAGTTGCTGACCCAAAAGTTATTAGTGTGAGCTTAACAGCTGCTCCCAGGAGAAAGGCAAAGCAGTTCGCTTCTGCAATCATCCACAGCCTTGGAAATCCTATGTGCAGTTCTACACTGTCCTACAAGGTTGCTGTGACTCGGAATCAACTTGAGGGCAGCAGCCTTGTTTGTTTTCCTACAATGTTTTTCCTACAGGCTTCAAATGACTCCTCCTCTCCTTCCCACTTTTGCCCCAAGAATCCTTCAGTCTTGCAACTTGAGGCCTGAATTTTTCTTTCAGTTCTTTATGCTTAGAAATGCTGAGTGTTTTCTCTTTTGGCTTTCTAACTCCGGGTCTTTGCACATTTTGTCACAATTTTGCTTGGCCCTTTTATATCTTCGTTAAGTCCTTTCTCACTATTTCTTCCTTCTACTATTCTACAGAGAAAAGCAAGTTTCAGAGTCACTCCTGCCATTTGCTTTCCCTTTTCCTTTGTCCTTTAAACACCTTTTGCTTTCTTTATGTTGATGCCATCCCACAACTTGTCTGAAAGCTTGGTTGTCAGTGTTCAAGGTTTCAAATTTACTCTTGGGATGGTTCCTCAATTTAAGTGAGCTATGGTCAAGGTCCTATTTTGGGTCTCATGAATTTATAATTTTTCCTCAGCTTGAACAACTGATGGTGTGCTCTGGTAGGTTGCCGGCCTTGTTCTGAATTGCTCATAGTAAGCTTTTCCACTGCTTCTTTCCACAGGTGTAGTTAACTGGATTCTTGTCTAGCCCATCAGGTGAGGTATACTTATGCTTTTTAAATGAGCTATCATTTATTTTTGAAAGGAAAAAGTCGGTCATATAAAACTTCATCACTCATCTCTGACTTAATTTCTGTTATCAAGATCATATTTTTCAGACTACTAGTCCTTGTTTGTTTTCAACTTTTGTGTGACAATCACTACTTATTATTACTACATCTTGATTGCATGTTTGGTTAATTTAAGACTGCAAAAGTTGGTAGAAATCCTTAATTTCTTTTTGGCTTACAAGGTTGGTGTATATGATTCAGAAGATGAAGAGGAAGCATTTACAGAAGATGATCAACAATTACGACCTTCAGTATGAATAGTACATCAACACAGAAAAAATAAAAATAAAAATTCTCACATATGGGTCATGACAAATGAAGAAAAAGACTGAAGTTGTCAATGATCTAATTTTACTTGGATTCACAATCAGAGCCCCATGGAAGCAGCAGCCAGGATATCAAAAGATACACTGGATCTCTTTAAAGTGTGAAAGAGCACAGATGTATAATATGCTTGGGAAAGTTGGACAATAATTAAGGAAGATCAAAGGAGAGTTGCTACTTTTGAATTGTGGTGCTAGCAAAGAATATTGAATGCAGTATGGACTACCAAAAGAACAAATTCATTTTGGAAAAAATGCAGCTAAAATGCTCCTTCGAAGTGAAGATGGTAAGACTTCATCTCACATACTCTTGGCATTTTATCAAGAGGGGCCAGTCCCTGGACAAAGAAATCATGAGAGGAAAGATCCTCAATGAGACAGACTCACAAAGTGACCACACCCCTGGGCTTACACACAGTAGAGGCTGTGAAGAAGGCCCAGGATTAGGCAAGCTTGTGATCTTTTGTACATACATATGGGCGTTACAGTTAGTTGGAGCCAACACGACAGCAGCTAACAACAATATCATACCTTTTTAATAGTTCAAATGTTAAATAAATGGAGAGACATTGTCAGCTACTCTACCTAAAATATATTTTCAATACTGGCTGTCTTAATCTCTTTGCCACTAGTAGTTTAACACTTTGTACTATATCAGGTCTTTATTTATACCCTAATTATTTGTCTGGCTTAGAGGAATGTCTATCTGTGCTTCACTGACTATGCAAAGGCATTTGACTGTGTGGATCACAACAAATTGTTGCTAACCTTGAGAAGTATGGGAATCTAGAACACTTGATTGGACTGATGTGAAAACTATACTTGGACCAGAAAGCAGTGCTCGGAACAGAGCAAGGAAACACTGCATGGTTCAAAATCAGAAAAGGAACGTGTCAGGGATGTGTCCTGCCTCCAAACCTTTTCAATCTATATGCGGAACAGGTCATTCAGGAGGCGGGCTTTATGAGGAGGAATGTGGCATCAGGATTGGAGGAAGACTCATCAACAACCTGTGATATGCAGAAGTCACAACCTTGCTTACTGAAACTGAGGTAGATCTGGAGCGCCTGTTGCAGAAAGTCAAGGACTGTAGTTTTCAATATGGATTGAAGCTCCACATCAAGAAGACAAAGATTCTCATCACTGGGCCAATTGGCAACATCATGATAGATGGAAAAGAGATAGAGGTTGTTAACAATTTCAGCTTGTTTAGCTCCACAATCAACACTTTCGGCACCAGCGGTTAGGAAATCAAAAGATGAATCGCACTGGGACAATCTGCTGTCAGGGACCTCTCCAGAGTACCGAGAAGCAACGACGTCTGCAAAGAGACTAAAGTGCGCCTGATTCAGGCCAGGTCTCCACAGTTACTTGTTATGCATCAGACCACTGGATAATGACGAAGGACGGCAGAAGAATTGAAGCCTTTGAATTGCGGTGACGGAGAAGAATACTGAACATACCATGGACTTTCACTTTCAACAGAACAAACAGGTCTGTCCTGGACAGGGTGAAATCAAACTACTCCTTGGAGACAAGGAATGTGAAATTCCATCTGATATACTTTGAGCATGTTTCCGGGAGGAACAGTCCTTAGAGAAGGACATCATGCTTGGAAGTGTAGGGGGACAGCACAAAATAAGAAGACTCTGGATGAGATGGAATTACACAGTAACTGGGATCATGGGGGTTAGTTCGTTAGTCAATGAGACTGGTTCAGGACAGGGCAGGCTTTAGAGCTAGTGTACACAGGGTTGCTATGAGTTGCAGGTGGCTCGATGACATAATACGGTGACATAATAAGAACAACATAGGAATATTAAGTTTAGTGAGGGCTGAAGGCTTGTCTCACTCACCATTGCCTGCCTAGTTAGCCTAACACACTGAAGGCATCAGCAAGTGCTTCTGAGTGGAGGAAAAAAAGAAGCTTCCAAGTGTTGAATATGTATTTGGTGCCAACCACTGTGCTAGTCCTTCTACACACACTCCATCACTTAATCCCTAGAACAAGCCAATGTAGTTATTCTCATTAGCTTCCACACTACTTTCCACTCATAGGTACTACACAGATCATCTGGAGACTTCTATGGTATAGCATGGTGGTACACAAGCCTTGCTAAGTGTTTAGAGCCACTGAGGGATTTTGTGTCTTTAAATATTCCTTGGTTCCTCCCCTGAAGTGTCTGAACTGGCAACTTTACAGAGTGGGCTCAATCTACGCCTTCCTTTCTTTGTATTTTTAGTAGGTTATCTGTGACACTCGGTAAAGCTGGGAACCTCTGATCTAAGGTGCCCCCTACTGTACAAGTGAGGAAACAGAAAACTCCAAAGAACAGGAATAGAGTTCCTAGTAAACCCAGCCTCATCCTCCATAGGCCACACTTGTCATGCTCAGGGTACTCAAGGTGGCTCATTTTAAGAAAATAGTTTTGGTTTTACAGGAATGTATGATAAACCAAATAAAAGCCTTGTCACTGTTTCAAGAATTTAGAATAAGATGGGTATGGCAAGAAAAGAATTATTCCACTGCAGTGCTGTGAGACAGC